GTAATGCCTGATTTTTCAATTTTTTTATTGTTTCAGAAATTGTGTAGACACATTCATAGACACTTCATACATCAGCTGAGTTGCCAAATCAATTTTTGGATTATGTGCGACATTTCAGCTGTTTAAAAACCCTGCCAGCCTGAGTGAGTGAAATGCTGTGCAATAGCATAAGACATGGGAGGATAGTTATCTCAGGAAGCCTTAAACCATTCTTAGTACAAGTAATAAGTTCTTTATATAGTGTGAGTGATTATGAATTCTTCCTAACCTGCGGGCCCTGTGCACATGGCCCTTCAAAACCCCGAGTTGTAGAGTTAATGAAGGACAAGGCAGAGGGAAAGGTGATATATGCGGGCGCAGATGCAACTAACCTTTAGAAACCACAGGAGAGTTCACCTCTCTATGTCCACCAGCAGTGGTGGGGTTTTTTTTTTTTTTTTTAAAGCAACACCAGCACTGAGCAGGTAAATGTCATTCAGCAAGGGGCAAATCATTTCCTCTCAAAAATGAAGAGGTCAGCATGGAAAAAGGGGACACGTTTATGTGTGACACACTGGCTTGTGAAATGCCATGTCCAGACCGGGACGGCTCCACAGGTTGCAAGCATGTGATGCCGTAGACCCTAAACTCCCTGAGGAGAGGAGATGTTCCTGTCTGAGGAAGAGAGGCTGCTTGACCCTTTCTCAACAAGAAAGTGAATCACTGCTGCTGAACAACTGACACATTTTACTAGCACTTTCTGAAAGACCCAACTGCTGCTTCTATATGTACAGCACTGTGCAAAAGTCTTAGGCCACCAATTCTATTAGCTATTTTAGCAATGTTATGATGACTCTATTTATTTATTTATCAGATTACGACTAGAAAATATGGGAAATATGTACACAGCATTAAAAAAAACACAAAAATGTCAGAAAAGTCAGCAAACAAACTGGATACTCAAGATTTGGTATTCAGACTGTTCTGAAGAAATATGAATAATCTGCAGAGGTCGTGGACAAAAACAGGAGAGGAAGACCAAGAAAACTGTCAAAATCTGATGAGACGTTTCTCTGAGTTTCTTAGAGAGAGACCAGAGGAAATCCAACAAGGGCCTGGTTCAGCATCTGGCAGCTTCATCTGGATGCAAAGTTCATCCTTCCACAGTCTGAAGAAGCTTGATCCGGAACAGCCTTTGTGGAAGGACAGCAGCCAAGAAGCCACTTTTTCAGAAAGGGGACAGGGAGAGGCTGAGATATGCAAAAGCTCACAGAGACTGGAGTAAAGATCAGTGGAAAAAAAGTCTGATGGAGCGATGAATCAAAGTTTGAAATGTTGGGGTCCAGTTGTCAACAGTAGAAGAAGAAGAATTTGAGGTAGGTGGAGGAATGAATGCCTGCAGCCCTCAGTGAAACATGATTTCAAGAGTTCAAGACAGTCTCCCCCAAAAAATTCAAGCTGTGCTAAGTCAGCTAAGCTAAGGGAGGTCACACTAAATACTGAATTTGGACGTTAGAAGCCATTTGATTCTGAATAATTTGTGCTTTTTAATATTGTGCACAATATTTTCCTGTTTATACCTTAAAAGAGATTGAAAAATAGATATAAATTATCATAAACCTTGATAAAACAGCAAGATTATGGTGGCCTAAGACTTCTGCACAGTACTATACAAAGCAGGGTGGGGTCAGGGTCAGAGGGGAGTAGTGAAGTCAAACACCAGGGGACTAATAACCACTGTCGGAGCCCTGGAGTAATCTCTGCAGACGTCTCTCAACTCCAACTCTGTGACAATAAATCTGTGTGTAGCTGTAATCACGGGGGTTTTACTGTTGTTAAGGGTGATGTTATCAAAGTCGTGTTGGCGTGTGGAATACAGTGCAGTACGTGGGATGCTGTGACACACACAGGTGCAGGCGGAAAGATACAACAGGTTTAAAGACAAGAACATAAAGGGTTTTAATTTTTAGTTGTCACAGCAGGAAAAACTGTGAAAGAGCTGCAAAGCAGCAGCTAAACTGGGCTGAAAACAGACTTGTTAAAAAGACAGAAACCACAATTGCTAACAGTGGGACATATTAAACCCTTAAACTCTGCAGTACGCTCAATTTTTCTCTTATTAGGGGCCAGAAGGCATATTTTATCACCCTTCTGTCTGCATGCATTTAGACCTCATATTCATTTGATAATCCATTATTTTGCTCCAGGTACAGAGCTTGGGCATGTCACATTAAACTCGTGTACTGCATCCTTGTCTCTCTTATCCGGGTGTTCCTGCTGGAAATTTGACTTAATCCTAATAATGATGCAAATTATGCAGAAAATTATGCTCTAGGATAAACACTATCTACTGAAAATAGATTTCTAATCCAATGAAGGTGGTTTCCATTATTTAGAAATTAGAAGACAGTTAAGGATTAACATAGGACTTAAATACAATTATGATGATTAGTAAATAGATTTTGGGAAACATATGTCAAAAATAATTGATAATTAATATATCTTATCCTACAAAAGATGAGCTACATGGGTTGGGTGCTACAGACATGTTTAATGACTCTGTGCATCATGGTTTTACATTACTAAATCATTCTCAAGAAGAACAAGGAACCAGAACAATGTAATAATTGGAGACCAGAAAGTTTATTAAGTAGATGTAAAACATTTGGCAAAGATTTTGGCATCTCATTTAGATCCTATGGACAATTTAGAGTGGTCAATCAACATAAGCTGCAGGTCTTTGGACTGTGGGAGGAAGCCGGAGCACCCAGTGAGAACCCACGCAGGCACAGGGAGAACATGCAAACTCCACACAGAAAGGTTCGAACCCGGAGTTCGAGGTTCAGGTCGTTCTTCCTGTGAGGCGACAGTGCTAACCACTGTGCCGCTGCGCCCCCCTATGAATACACTTTTAATACAAATTTGGCTTTGGGAGGTCAAGTCTTTTTCTTAATTTGCTTGTCCAGCCATGCGCTCAAGTAGGTCTCTGTCCTCTCTCCTTTCTCTGCTGGACAAGCTTGAGGTCCTGTGTGGCCTGAAGGTGCATTGCCTTCTCCTGCTCAAACTTTATGCAAGCCTTCTTCATCTGTTTGGCTCCTAGAAAGCTCTTTATATTTGCTCAACTGCCCAATAAAGAAGGTTCTCTCTTTTTTCTACTGGACTTGGCGACACTCAAGCTGTTCTTCACTGTGTTTTAGTGCTGCCGTGAGATTGTTCTTCTCTTCCAGTAGATTTTTGAGCTCGGTCTTACTGGAGGCTCTGCATTTCTCAGTTTCGGCTAGCAGGGAAGCATTCTCCTTTTCCAAGCGAAAGTTCTCAGTCTTTAGACCTGCTGCCTTTCTGAGTTCAGCATCCATCTTTCTGGTCTCTGCTCTCTGTTGCTCCAGCTGGACCTTCATAGAGCTCTCTGTTGTCTCCCACTCCTGCTCCTTTCTCTGCAGAGAACTCTTGAGGTCCTGTATGGCCTGAAGTTGCATTGCCTTGTCCTGCTCATACTTCATATGAGCCTTCTTCCGGGCATCCGTTTGGCCCTTACAGAGCAATTCATATGTGTCCAACTTGCAATCAGAGAAGGCTTTCTCTTTTTGCCACTGGACTTGGTGACACTCAAGCTGTTCTTCAGTATGTTTTAAAGGTGCCATGAGATCCTTCTTCTCTGGCAGTAGACCTTTCTGTTCAGTCTCACTAGAGGCTCTGCATTTGGCGATTTCATCCTGCAGGGAGGCTTTCTCCTGTTTCCACTGGAGACGCTCCTTCTCCGCCTTCTCGTTGACTGTCTGAAGATCGGCCACAAACTGCTGTTCCTTTTCACTTTGCTGCTTTTGGTGGGCAGCATAGCAGCTCTGGGTTTTGTCCAAAGCTGCCTGGAGGGAGCACCTCTCCTCCTGCCACTGCTGCTCTGCCTCCTTCTGAGCAGCCCTCAGCTGATTTATGTCAAAGCTGTGCTGCTCCAGCTGGACCTTCATAGAGCTCTCCCACTCCTGCTCCTTTCTCTGCAGAGAACACTTGAGGTCCTGTATGGCCTGAAGGTGTATTGCCTTGTCCTGCTCAGACCATGTATGAGTCTCCTTCAGGTTAGCAGTTTGGCTCGTACACAGCTTTTTGTATTTGTTCAACTCTGCCAGAACGAAAGTTTTCTCTTCTTTCCACTGGAAATGCTGATGACGCCCTAGTTTGCCTTCCATGGCTCTAACACAGGAAGGTGATGAAGGTTCGAGGGTTTTCTTCTGTTGAACCTTATTTTTTTTGTGCCTCTTCTGTGTTTGCTTCTTAGTGCTCTGTGTACACCCCATAGCGATATCAAACTTGCCAATGTAAAACAGTAAAAAACTGAAATCCCTGACTTCTCAAGCCTGATGACTTCTCAAAATCAAAAATGCAGCTTCTCTCTGTGTGTGGAACCATGGTTCTGAATGCCAGTCTGTGAAACTCAGTGCGGTTCACTCTCATGCAATCTCATGCAAGTTTGCAAATCAATTTTCTGAGAAGATTGATGTTATATATGATAGGGCTGCAACAATGTCAGAAATAAAAATGCCTGTCATGTATTCAAAGAGCAAAAGACATTTTGAAATGACTGGTTTTGTCTGATTAACGATTCAAAGCATGAAAATATCAAAATCGCAACTTCTTCAATGATATAAAACAGAAAGAAATCACCAATTCCTCCCACTTTGAGAAGCTGGAAATATAGAATGTTTGGTATTTTTGTTTGATATATGCCATAAACATTTCATCAATTATCAAATGATTACTTTACTTTTATGTTGATTGATGAATTAACTGACTGTTACACCCTGCAGTGTAAATTTTTCCCTTCATGTGTGTAAATTATAGCTAAAAAAAACTGTGACAAATTAACAAAGAGATAAAACTAATTTGTTGGGTGCAAGTGCTGATTAGGAGCCAGTGAACTCTCAGCATTAAAACTCCTCAATCTGACTCCATTAAAATTTCATACGATTGGAAAGTCTGGCACCTGGATTAACAGTCTGGAGGAGAGATTAGGTGTGAAATGTTACCTGTCGGACAAAGCTGTTCGAGGTGGTGTCAGAGGAGGTGCTTCCATCGGAGCGCTTAAATCGGCTCTTCCTCTTGGCGTACTTTCCCTGAAACCAGAGAGGTTGGAGGGTGGAGGGAGGGGGTGTGGAAGGGATGAGAAAAGCATGAGATGTTTAATTGTGTAGCTTCATATGAACTCATCTTGACAGATTTCTTACAAAACCTTGTTTCTGGGTCCTGTGAAAGCCATTAACATTTGCTATAGCATTTGTAAAGGTACTGAGTATGATCAGGCAGTCGGACAGAGCCAGAGATAAAGCAGCCTGAGTCCCAGAACACAGAGGAAGCGAACCACAGAAAATGTGTCTATGAACAGCCTTAATTATTTGGCATTTTTCATGTTCGGATGCAAACTGGGACCTTGTAATCTGATTGGCAGACCCCTGGCAAATGACCCATCCGGGTTGGGCAGAGGCCACATATTGCATTATGACCCTACCCTGCCCACATTGCCATGGTTACACAACACTGACTAATCACATTTGTTGACAATCGGGAGCCGAGCTTCGTTGTTCTTCCAGCATGAAAGAGAGAGAACTGTTGGCTTAGATAAAGACTTTGATATAAACACAGCAGATTAACATACAGAATGTGTTCAGGTCACTATGTTCACCAAGAACACCTAATACTTCAACAATCAAGCACATAACTGTGCAGTCATATTTCAAACCCATACATGTGGGATAAAGCTCAGTGACAGAGCATTTCACTGGAGGGAGGTCTCTGGTTCAAGCCAGATGCTCTCTGGCTTTCTGTCATATTTGGTATAGGAAGCTATAAGCGGTACATTTTAAAGAATATTTTCATTATTATTAATATGTAGACAAGTTTTGAATAGCTGGTTAATTACTTAATAAATAAAAGAACAGAAAAGAAAACTATTTAAAAAAAAAAAAAAAAAAAGTCCATCACAGTTTGTCAGAGTTCAACTAGCAGTCCAAAACTCAAAGACAGGCTATTTGGTTTACAGTGATATACTGTATAGTTTACACCAGAAAAGAGGAGCTGAAAAGCTAGAGAAGTGGCACATTGTAGCAGTTGGAAACTCACTTGACAACTGACCTAACCATTAACCATGTACAACATATATATAGTTACTTTTCTTGTTAGTAGATTAATCATTTTAATCAGTTCTGACTTAAAACCTGCTCGGGATAGCTACTCTGTGAGCATTAAGTCACTTATATTTCTGTCAGAACAATGTTATAGCTGTGTGGTAATTCAGTTAAAAGTTCTGATTTATTTAAATAGTCAGATGGCGTGTTGCGTTTTGGTACCGGTTGGAAGCATAAATATCAGAGATTTGAGAGTTAGCTGTCATTCTACAATCCTTTACCTAAAAAAAAAAAAAAAAACAATTTTACAGTAGCCCACTGTTTGTCTTCTGGGTTTTCTTCTGATTTTGTAAAATGCTATGGTAACACTTTAAGCCTAACTGTTTACCTTTTATAATCATTATATAAATGTATGATAAAGGTTTACAACATACTATGGAGTTGTAAACATATTTGAGTATTGTTTAATGTATTGTTCAACAAGTACAACTGTCCCTGTGGGCGCCCATGAGTGGAGGCTGCTGTATAGACATAATGAATGATAATTTAGTACAAGTTGTAATATAAAACATGTCTTAATAGGAGAAATTGTTAAATAGTGTACATGTACATTTAAAATGTAAAATTTATTATAGTGACTCTACCTCATTTCCTTTCAGCAGCTAGAGAGCCTCAAAACTAAGTGTCACCAGTCTGAAGCTAGCATTAGCTAACTAATGAGTAAATCAGTCAATCTAGTAAACTAAACATTCCTGCGAATGTGACTAAACTGTTAAAATGTTAAACAAAGCTCAAACTGCTCCGAAATCATTATAATTCAATAAAAAGGTAAAATGATGGCCATGCTAGGTTGCTAATGTATCAAAAATAAACACATTAGCTTTAGACCCTAACAGATCCACGAGAGCTTAATCAAATTTCAGTCCTTTGACTGCTTTTACCACTTCCAAACCGATGTTAACCCCGGTTTTTGCTCTTTCTTTGTCCCACTCTCCCAGTGTAAAAGATCACAATCTCTTCAGTCTGGCAGCCGCCATTATGGACATTTAGCAGATGAGCGCTCCTCCATGGCTGGCTGTTTGACATGAAGCCTCGCAGATTGAAAAACACTTTTTATAACCTTCCCTAGGTGGGACTAATTTGCAGACCTTATTTTGACAACACAGGGCAGAGAAGTTGGAAAAAAAAGGCACTGTAGGCAGCAATGTCATGCAAGTGGTTGTACTGCTGAGACACACCACCTCCCGTTCCATTTTCACTTGACCTATTAGACAATGTGCAAAATCTTTATGCACCTTTAAATACGTACAGTATATACTGTAGCCTATTGCTTACAAATGCGAAATAGGAGAAGTAAAGACGGATAGAAATCAATGACTCTAAAGTAAGAAATAATATCCATGCATGTATCAGGAACACTGGTAAACATTCTCTCTCTCAGCTGTTTGGTTTTTTTTTTTGTGTACACTGTGAGAAGTAATTACATTTATCAAAAACTGCTCACATACATTGACTTGTAACAAACCAACCAGCCCCCCAGTAAACCAACCTGTACACACACCAGTGTAAATATTCAACCCTACTGATAAGCTGTGTCAAATCTGTCTCAGTGTCTGAATATCTAACAGCTGAGCAGAGACTGGTTAACAACCGGCCAACAATGATCCCTCCAGTATTTTGTTATGGCTCTCACATCATATGCGACAGTTCAGTCCAAGGCCCTCAGATGAATGACGCTGTCCTGTCTGCCTTTAAACAAACACAACCTGTTACAACAGCGCCAACTGGAGCAAACATAAAAACGCAGTGTGGCCAAGAGGCTTCCAGTGCTAACAAACAGAAGAAAAACACATCTGTTACACACTTCTCTCCAAAAATGGAGCTCACAGATTAATTTGAATTTATTTTAAAACTTCCTGTAGCACAAAAATAATGTATCAAACCTTTTGTGCTATGGTTCATGTACTGCTGCTGATGCATAAGATAAGTACACAGCAGGATGTTCCCAAGCAAATGAACTCTGGTACACCCAGGAAGTTGAGTTAAATTGCAAAACGACATGTATTAGAAACTCCTAAAAGGGCAGTTACTGATTTTTAATGGTAAAATTCAACCTGAGGTGATGACACATGAGAACAGACATAGATGGACCGATATACTGAGAATTACATCACTGCTGGTAAATCTGTCTACGCACAGAATTCAGAAAAGTATCCAAAAATAATCAGTGTGCACTGATGGCTATATAGAGGCTTACTGTAAAATACTGCTTACTAAATGTCTTTGTATATTAAATACAGAAGAAATTTGAGTTCTTTTTCCTCAGAATACTGACTTTAAAGCTGAATTCTGAGAAAATTCTGGTCCTAATCCTCTTCCATAATTAAGCAATAAGATTGTGCTGGTGATAAAGAAAAAATAATAAAATATATGTGGGTTATGGCAACTAAATTTTAGCCCACGTATATTTCTGTCCAGATCATGATCACCAGCTTTTGCTTTTACATCTGGTACTATTAACTATTCTCATGAACCTGATTCTTCTTCAGCAGATTTTAAAAAGATTTCAGGTCACATGCGTATGTATGTTTTGTCGAGGTACGTGTAGGACAGCAGGAAGAAATGGCGTTAACTTAAGCCCTTTTCAGACATGCACTAGAACCCTGAAACTCTCTAGACATTACCCAGAGGAGCTGTACGTGAGAACGCAAATGTCCGACTCAGTCAACCTGGACAGTAAGTGGACTTTACTCTTCCATGTAATGTCTGGGTGAGTGAGCTCATGTGAGAATACAGCAGCGTACTGTATAGTCTGAAGCATTCACACAGAGCTGCCAGGCCTGTTGATGACATTCTATCATGTGACTTGCGTGAAACCGGAAGAACACAAACATCTGATGGTGAAGAAAAACATTGACATTTCATTTACATTGAAAACACCAAAGAAAATATCTAACTGTAGACACGATGAGATTCTGGAACTTACATCGTTAACATCTGGCAACAGAATTGTCAGCCATATTTAAGGACTGGTAAGAGACTCGGTTGTTTCTGATCAAATTACAAACTGGCTACGTGACAGCATCATGTCCTGCCTACTGGAGTATTTCCAGTAGGTGAGAACACGTCTGACATGGACTAACTCCTCGTGTGCTACATGTGTGAAAGGGCAACTCAGGACAAAGTCGGGGCCTGATCCCATGGACATAGTCCAGAGTTCAAGTGTAAAACCAACCTTATTGAATGGATGTTCTTCCTAGGGTTTAGGTGTACAATTAGTCTGAGGTTTGTATGAGCCTTCAACAGTCTCCATTAGACAAATCAAGAAGACACATTATCTTCCAAAGTTACAGCCTCTTTAGTTGAAATTCTCTGTTTTTTGTTATTATTCCTCCACTGCAGCTCATGTGTTCAGAGAAACAAAACAGAGAATTTTATATTAAGCTGAGCATTTCCTTGGAAGATTTTTATTTGTCAAACTCAAGCTGCTAAAATATAGAAACTTGAACTTCTGAATACACTTCAGCACAAAATGAAGACTGTGGATTTTGTCCCTCATATCTTATACATGAACAGGGGGAATGACTACATAAAGCAAAAACTCCTTCACAGAACATATGGGCACCTGTCTATTGTTTTAAAGCAGACTTACAAACTGTAAAGCTATCCTTTAAAAACAGACTGCATTTACACCTGGCTGAAATTTGATCACGTGAAGACGACTACTTATAGGTGTGGTCATCTAATCACAATCTGTTCTGTTGCATTTACACCTTCATTAACTGGTTTAGTGAAAATGGTGACTCACGCCACATTAATTGCTAAGATCTCAAGATGTAACATGATGAGGCAATCAAAAAGGTTGTAAACAAATCCCCAATTCAGCTTTATGATCTAAACTAAATTATTTCAAAAGAAAATAAAGATGCACACACCCATCTTACAGAGATATTATTCACAGCAGGGTAAAATGAAGGATGTTGGGTCAACATTAAAACAGGAAGAAGCTCTGCAAAACTTGAATATCAACACTGGACATTTTAATCAAAAGCTCAGCTTCACCTTTGTTTTAACAAGTGATACAGACAACACGATTACAACCTGTTAGATAATCAGCCTGGTCACGATGCTTGCCTTGCTAGAGGCATTGCTGTGCCACCAGATAACTCAGCATCACAGCTGATAAATTAAATGTTATAAGAACAGACCGGAGTACTAAAATAAGACCTGTGTTGTGAAAATGTTAATTTTTTTCAGAAGGTGCAAGTGATGGTGGCAAAGGCAAAAGCACCTGCTTGTAAACTCTGCTATCACAAGTTCTCAGTTATGTGTGTCGGTACAGGTAGGTGTGTGCACGTGTTTAGAAGTATCTCTGTGATCTGAGCCATGATGGGGTGAGTTCCTGTCAACAAAGGGCAGGGAAATGCCAGAGGAAGTAGGGAAGGGAGGCTTCCTGTTGGTAAACATCCTCTCAGGTTAAATGTATAATTAAAAAGGATGATGTGCATGAGTAGGGGGCTTTAAAGTAGAAAGCAGGGGATGTGGAACGTGGCCCAGGTGGTCAGGTGCATGATATCACATCTGAAATGTAAACTACAGTCTCCCAGCCTGAAAACTCCATACATTATTCTGCTGAGAGAGATCCGCATTGATCTTTAATGTAAGCGAGCCCCAGGCTCAGTTTTCGGCCCACACTTAATTTCTTCTTCTGTGATCTTGTGCTGGCTGGGTACAAATCTCACAGTTTCTGTCAGGATATTAGAAAGGCGGTCCCCTGCTTGTCTCGCCACAGCAGAGAAACAAATACACATACCAGCATGACCTGCTGCAGGTCTGTATGAACTTTATATCTAATTGATCAGAAGTGTCACATGCAAAGACATGTAGAGATACACACACACACACACACACACACACACACACTGATTCAAATGCACACGACATGTCTTTCCATCTGTTTCTCGCCACAGCCTCACAGCTATAGACCTGAATCTAAAAACAGACAGGACAAGGTGAGAGAAGGGTAAAAACAGTGGGACATTAAAGTGGATGGAGCGGGAACCAAGAGCAGGAAGAGAGACGAGAGAGAGCTGGGAGAAGTGGGAGTAAAGCGGAGCGAACAGGAGCTGGCATGGATTGTCTGTGGTGAAGGGTTTTTTTTTTTCCATTCTCCAGAGACAATGACTGAGCTCGGTGTGGGTGTGTTTGTTCTAGATATTCTCATCTATTTTTTTTCATCCATTTAAATTGTTATGACTAAACATGCCCACAACATCATGTCACTTACTAAGAGCCACAGCCTATTTGTGGTTACAAAAAGAGTGACACCATCAGAAGTTGAATGATACAATTTGAAATGAAAGAATAAGTTGAGGGGTACAAGGTGTTAGGACAAGATAGAAAAATAGATTTGATGTCAGAAGCAATAACAACAACCACCAAAACCCAATATGTTGTTACTGTTTGTGATTTGAAAACGTAATCTCTTTTTGATTCACGTTAATTCAAATAAAACACAAATTCAACTCTTCTCCACACGGACAAATAGAGTTACAATTTGCATAAATCCTGTTTGGTTAATTAGAGATTAATTAAACAAAAGCTGGTTTTCACAAGGCTCCAATGAGAAGACAGCATAAAAACGTTACATCACATCCTCACGTACGGTTGCACACAGGCGACTTATTAAAACCAACACAATTACGAGCTAGACACAGGCCAAGGATGAAATCATAAATCAAAACCCAAAGATCATAAAAACTAGAATATGTAATACATTTAGCTTCCTCTTAAAAACCTCAATTAGATTACATTCAGGTTTAAATCTAGGCATCGTAGACTAGAGAAACAGGTATTTAGACTGTTAGGCGGCTGATTAGCTGGACAACCTGTTAATCTTCAGATGGGAAACAGCTTCAGTGTTGTCAAAACACATCTTCAGTATAAATGTGTGCTATTCTACTCGGAGTGTTTCCAGTTTTCTGCCATATTCTGCCTGTTCCTTGCTCTTACCTGTGTGTGTGGATGATGGTCGAACATGTCCATTTGGATCTCCTGGGTTGAGGTCGAAGGCGTCCTGGACATACTACTTTTCTGTACCATTGATTAAACTTTTTAAAATCTATTCTCAGTTTGGTGTGTTTACGTTGGTTTCGATAGACTCATCTTTTGTTCTGTTCATGGAGGGTGAAAACGCTGATCTATTGGAGCTGTCTGCTAATATAATGACAACAGCTGCCTCCTTCCAAGCCTATAATATTACACACTGGCGCACCAGGATTTCTACTAGCGTCAAGTCAACGGAATTACACGACCAAGCGTCCGGTTATTGCTTTCAAAATAAAATACATTGAAAACGCTAAACGTACTATACATTAGAAGGGTGATGTGATTCATATCAAATGTTTACGTCTTGATATTGTTTTCTTTTAAATAAAGATATGACATAGACTATGGCTTAAAGTATTGGGGTAGGTGTGGGCCCATAACAGTATATGAATACTACAGTCATTTCTCTGCCTTTGCACAATGCACACATGCAAAGAGGTTGTGGGAAATTAGTTATATTTCCATGTTAGTACCTATAAATTGTCTGGTTGAATACACAATCAGACAACTTCAATCACATGTTGCACAGCAAACACAAAAACAGTTGTCAGAAGGCAGGAGTAATCTAATCTAATGTAATACTTTAACACATATGAGACATGAAAATCAATGAAAATAGAAAGGATAGCTACTGACAGGTTAAGTATTTATATCCCGCCCATATTCAGTTTTATCTTATTCATTTAAACATTTTTGCCCAAGTAATTTACTATCATTAACTTATTCTATACATTATATTAAATGAATCTATTACATAAATTGTGACAGTACAACAAGAGTTAGAAATAATGATTATAGTACTGAAAAGATTATATCAAACCTGACAATATGCTACATTTGAAGCGCTTCTAAAGGACATGCTTTTATTTTGAAGGCAGAATTTTCTAACTTCCGGCATGTTTCTGTCTTCCTCTGTCTGTCTTGGTGCCGTCTTTCTCTTCGGTGTCCACTCGGCAGGCTCCAGCTGGGAGCCGTGGTCCACGCCCCAATGAATAGACCCCACCTTCACTAGTCGATTGATGAGAGGACAGATCCATGGTAGGAGAGGCTGAGGGTGTGGACAGACTGTCAGCCCGTGTCACTGGTCCTCCATACGGCGATCCAAAGACCAGGAGGTCCTGGAGGGCTACAATGGGGGTGAGAATAGACTAGTTCTGTTTCACAGTTAGTTTGTTGCAGCAGCAGGGAGGCTCAGGTCTCTATGATTTGAAGACATGGGGGTTTGTACCGATGTGGCCTTGAGTTTAAACAGCAAAGCTCTACTAGCAGGGACAGATCTACAGTAGTGCTGAGGCAGGGACACAGGGACAGGTGGGATTACATGTGACTTCAGGAGCACAGACTTTTAGGGCCCCAAACTATGCCATGAAATATAAATATTTAACATTAAAACTTTGGTTAAACATTTTAATAGCTGTAGGGGTTTGTAATGGTGTCCAAAGATGTTTGGTTTCTGGATGTTAACCCTTTATTTCAGTGGTTAATGGAACAGAAAACCTAATATAGAGAAAAACTGATAGCCCCAGGCCAGTGCCAAAAAATAGGTCTAAAAAAAAAATCTTGCTCTCACTCTCAAATTTAGGAGTAACGGCTAAATCAAATCTGTTAAAACCTGGTTTAAACTTGAAATTGTGGACATCAGAACCAACTGTAAACACAACATTAGTATATTAGTAGCTTAAAGTTGTGTTAGGGAACGATGACCTATCAACATGTTGTGTGGACACTAAGAACTGTTCATATTTTTTCTTAGTGTAGCAGTGAAAGGCCTACCACTCACCCCAAACTGAAGGAGTGAACAAGTTTGAGTGAATAACTTGTAGACCACTGTGAAAAAGACAGCGGTCACACAGCTTCAGTGATATTTTATCATTTTGATTAGGTGAACCTAAATAAACATCCACCTCTCAGAGCACCTTGAGGGAAAAATGATCCCCATGCCTGCTGAAATCTTTCTTGCGGGG